ACTATTGAGATTAAGATAACAAACAGAGTTTTTTTGGGCAATGATGAAGAATGACATAATCTCTATACTCAGATTGTATTGAAGTTTTCGATTACATCAAGGGATTGTTCATAAAGAGCGAATAAAGAAATGTTATTATTATCTCTAAATTTATAAATATTTTTTCTATAACTATTGAGATTAAGATAACAAACAGAGTTTTTTTGGGCAATGATGAAGAATGACATAATCTCTATACTCAGATTGTATTGAAGTTTTCGATTACATCAAGGGATTGTTCATAAAGAGCGAATAAAGAAATGTTATTATTATCTCTAAATTTATAAATATTTTTTTCTATAACTATTGAGATTAAGATAACAAACAGAGTTTTTTTGGGCAATGATGAAGAATGACATAATCTCTATACTCAGATTGTATTGAAGTTTTCGATTACATCAAGGGATTGTTCATAAAGAGCGAATAAAGAAATGTTATTATTATCTCTAAATTTATAAATATTTTTTTCTATAACTATTGAGATTAAGATAACAAACAGAGTTTTTTTGGGCAATGATGAAGAATGACATAATCTCTATACTCAGATTGTATTGAAGTTTTCGATTACATCAAGGGATTGTTCATAAAGAGCGAATAAAGAAATGTTATTATTATCTCTAAATTTATAAATATTTTTTTCTATAACTATTGAGATTAAGATAACAAACAGAGTTTTTTGGGCAATGATGAAGAATGACATAATCTCTATACTCAGATTGTATTGAAGTTTTCGATTACATCAAGGGATTGTTCATAAAGAGCGAATAAAGAAATGTTATTATTATCTCTAAATTTATAAATATTTTTTTCTATAACTATTGAGATTAAGATAACAAACAGAGTTTTTTTGGGCAATGATGAAGAATGACATAATCTCTATACTCAGATTGTATTGAAGTTTTCGATTACATCAAGGGATTGTTCATAAAGAGCGAATAAAGAAATGTTATTATTATCTCTAAATTTATAAATATTTTTTCTATAACTATTGAGATTAAGATAACAAACAGAGTTTTTTTGGGCAATGATGAAGAATGACATAATCTCTATACTCAGATTGTATTGAAGTTTTCGATTACATCAAGGGATTGTTCATAAAGAGCGAATAAAGAAATGTTATTATTATCTCTAAATTTATAAATATTTTTTTCTATAACTATTGAGATTAAGATAACAAACAGAGTTTTTTTTGGGCAATGATGAAGAATGACATAATCTCTATACTCAGATTGTATTGAAGTTTTCGATTACATCAAGGGATTGTTCATAAAGAGCGAATAAAGAAATGTTATTATTATCTCTAAATTTATAAATATTTTTTTCTATAACTATTGAGATTAAGATAACAAACAGAGTTTTTTTGGGCAATGATGAAGAATGACATAATCTCTATACTCAGATTGTATTGAAGTTTTCGATTACATCAAGGGATTGTTCATAAAGAGCGAATAAAGAAATGTTATTATTATCTCTAAATTTATAAATATTTTTTCTATAACTATTGAGATTAAATAACAAACAGAGTTTTTTTGGGCAATGATGAAGAATGACATAATCTCTATACTCAGATTGTATTGAAGTTTTCGATTACATCAAGGATTGTTCATAAAGAGCGAATAAAGAAATGTTATTATTATCTCTAAATTTATAAATATTTTTTTCTATAACTATTGAGATTAAGATAACAAACAGAGTTTTTTTGGGCAATGATGAAGAATGACATAATCTCTATACTCAGATTGTATTGAAGTTTTCGATTACATCAAGGGATTGTTCATAAAGAGCGAATAAAGAAATGTTATTATTATCTCTAAATTTATAAATATTTTTTTCTATAACTATTGAGATTAAAAACAAACAGAGTTTTTTTGGGCAATGATGAAAGACATAATCTCTATACTCAGATTGTATTGAAGTTTTCGATTACATCAAGGGATTGTTCATAAAGAGCGAATAAAGAAATGTTATTATTATCTCTAAATTTATAAATATTTTTTTCTATAACTATTGAGATTAAGATAACAAACAGAGTTTTTTTGGGCAATGATGAAGAATGACATAATCTCTATACTCAGATTGTATTGAAGTTTTCGATTACATCAAGGGATTGTTCATAAAGAGCGAATAAAGAAATGTTATTATTATCTCTAAATTTATAAATATTTTTTTCTATAACTATTGAGATTAAGATAACAAACAGAGTTTTTTTGGGCAATGATGAAGAATGACATAATCTCTATACTCAGATTGTATTGAAGTTTTCGATTACATCAAGGGATTGTTCATAAAGAGCGAATAAAGAAATGTTATTATTATCTCTAAATTTATAAATATTTTTTTCTATAACTATTGAGATTAAAAGAACAAACAGAGTTTTTTTTGGGCAATGATGAAGAATGACATAATCTCTATACTCAGATTGTATTGAAGTTTTCGATTACATCAAGGGATTGTTCATAAAGAGCGAATAAAGAAATGTTATTATTATCTCTAAAATTTATAAATATTTTTTTCTATAACTATTGAGATTAAGATAACAAACAGAGTTTTTTTGGGCAATGATGAAGAATGACATAATCTCTATACTCAGATTGTATTGAAGTTTTCGATTACATCAAGGGATTGTTCATAAAGAGCGAATAAGAAATGTTATTATTATCTCTAAATTTATAAATATTTTTTTCTATAACTATTGAGATTAAAAGAAAAACAGAGTTTTTTTGGGCAATGATGAAGAATGACATAAATTCTATACTCAGATTGTATTGAAGTTTTCGATTACATCAAGGGATTGTTCATAAAGAGCGAATAAAGAAATGTTATTATTATCTCTAAATTTATAAATATTTTTTTCTATAACTATTGAGATTAAGATAACAAACAGAGTTTTTTTGGGCAATGATGAAGAATGACATAATCTCTATACTCAGATTGTATTGAAGTTTTCGATTACATCAAGGGATTGTTCATAAAGAGCGAATAAAGAAATGTTATTATTATCTCTAAATTTATAAATATTTTTTTCTATAACTATTGAGATTAAAAGAACAAACAGAGTTTTTTTGGGCAATGATGAAGAATGACATAATCTCTATACTCAGATTGTATTGAAGTTTTCGATTACATCAAGGGATTGTTCATAAAGAGCGAATAAAGAAATGTTATTATTATCTCTAAATTTATAAATATTTTTTTCTATAACTATTGAGATTAAGATAACAAACAGAGTTTTTTTGGGCAATGATGAAGAATGACATAATCTCTATACTCAGATTGTATTGAAGTTTTCGATTACATCAAGGGATTGTTCATAAAGAGCGAATAAAGAAATGTTATTATTATCTCTAAATTTATAAATATTTTTTTCTATAACTATTGAGATTAAGATAACAAACAGAGTTTTTTTTGGGCAATGATGAAGAATGACATAATCTCTATACTCAGATTGTATTGAAGTTTTCGATTACATCAAGGGATTGTTCATAAAGAGCGAATAAAGAAATGTTATTATTATCTCTAAATTTATAAATATTTTTTTCTATAACTATTGAGATTAAAAGAACAAACAGAGTTTTTTTTGGGCAATGATGAAGAATGACATAATCTCTATACTCAGATTGTATTGAAGTTTTCGATTACATCAAGGGATTGTTCATAAAGAGCGAATAAAGAAATGTTATTATTATCTCTAAATTTATAAATATTTTTTTCTATAACTATTGAGATTAAAAGACAAACAGAGTTTTTTTGGGCAATGATGAAGAATGACATAATCTCTATACTCAGATTGTATTGAAGTTTCGATTACATCAAGGGATTGTTCATAAAGAGCGAATAAAGAAATGTTATTATTATCTCTAAATTTATAAATATTTTTTTCTATAACTATTGAGATTAAGATAACAAACAGAGTTTTTTTGGGCAATGATGAAGAATGACATAATCTCTATACTCAGATTGTATTGAAGTTTTCGATTACATCAAGGGATTGTTCATAAAGAGCGAATAAAGAAATGTTATTATTATCTCTAAATTTATAAATATTTTTTTCTATAACTATTGAGATTAAGATAACAAACAGAGTTTTTTTGGGCAATGATGAAGAATGACATAATCTCTATACTCAGATTGTATTGAAGTTTTCGATTACATCAAGGGATTGTTCATAAAGAGCGAATAAAGAAATGTTATTATTATCTCTAAATTTATATATATTTTTTCTATAACTATTGAGATTAAGATAACAAACAGAGTTTTTTTGGGCAATGATGAAGAATGACATAATCTCTATACTCAGATTGTATTGAAGTTTTCGATTACATCAAGGGATTGTTCATAAGGAAATGTTATTATTATCTCTAAATAAATATTTTTTCTATAACTGGAATTAGATATTGCAGGATGATATAAAGATATTTATCAGATGTTTATGAGTCATGATGAAGAAGACTATTTAACTTTTTATAGACAGATTTTTCATGAGACAATGACTATTTGAAAATACGTCATGTCTTGTTAATGCCAGATGGGTGTAAGTACACCATTACTCATGATAATGATAGATGCTCAATTTCTCTTTCACAAGGAGCTTCAATAGATGAAAATATGGTTTAATTTGGAAAGAAACAGAATAGGATATTGCTCTTATTTTGAGCAATTTTTCAACGCTGATTCCTTTGCAAATGATATGAATTTTGGATCCAGCAGTTTTACTTACAATGTCAAATCTCACTCCAATGTAATCACAATGTTCATCTTCTTCCATTGGGTTAATAATTCATTTGAATTTTCATTGATGTAAATCTAGTGGATAATTTTATCAAGTTCACATTCTATATTTGCTTTCAGGACAGTTATTAGTCTGTTAATGTGTGCAGAGTAAAATTATCATATGTATACGATAGAAGATTCAAACAAAAAATTTATAACAACAAAAATTCATGGAAAATAAAATAGTAGTTCTAATGCTTTTTGGCAGAAAACGGAGATCTAGGCAAACTGTCAATTTGTATATCAACAATTTCATTATCAATGGAGTCGTCGCTATCTCTCTGTTGGGTTGAGAACACATTTGATTCAGCATCATGTTCGCTGACATCAGAATCATCAGCTTTAATGTCAAATATTTCTTGACTTGCTGCAGGCGTTGTTTGTGCTAATTTCAGTGTATTCTCAATCATATTTCCTATAGTATTAAGATATTCGCTTGAAGTTTTAGAATTATCAAGCATTTGCTCGACATAAAATTCTTCTTCTTCAATATCATATTCTCCATCAGATTCAAAGTTAATTTTAAGAGGTGTTGCATCATTGGATGAACTCGTCTGACCAAATGCTGCAATTGGAGCCATTTGCATCTCAATTGAACCAGGACTTAGAGGAATTATCGGTGCATTAATGTCTACATTGCTATTGATCGAATCTGGAGGTGTTTCTTTGCGTGGTTCAGTTTTAATCGTTTCGAATTCTGGATTTTCTTTTTTATTTATGCGAAGTGATTTTCTAGTATATGAATTAGACTTTGGAACAGGTATTTTACTACTCGATTTCTTTTCAGAAGGATTTACTGCCAGTTCAGTAAGTCTAGACTTTCTGACTGGAATATTCGAAACTTTATGTTTTGACATTTTTGGGACAACTTTTCGCGATATTAGTTGTTTTCGTTCATCATCCGTCATTTCTTTTGCTTTTGAAGGTGATGTATTTTTGCGTTGCGCAATAACTTTGCTTGGTGAGTATTTTTTTCCCGTATTTCGTGACATAGCTGATGATGTAACAAGATAGTCAGTCCCATGCACAATCTCCTCAATTTCACTTAAAAATTGATTATGAAATTGATCTTGTATTTTCTTTCTGAAGTTAAAAATAAAATATACCTTTTCATTATCGAATTCGAAGCATGAGGCTCCGTTATATGATTTGAACGCTTAACAGGACTTTCCTTCCCATGAAGCGACATTTTGATTTGAAATTTTATTTCTAAACGAATGTCAAATTTATATTGATGGCATTTGATTCTTAATCATTTATATTGGACTAGCACCAGCTGCTCAATGGAATTCGATTTGGCGAAAATTTTTGATTGAATACGGATAAAAATCCTCATTTTTATGCCATTCGCCATTTCATATAATAACTCATTATAGTTGCGCTTTTCCTGTAAGTTTGCATATGAAATCCAACAACATTGAGTACTGAAAACATTTCTAAATTTCACTGATATTAAATTTCTAAATATCAATGATTCAAATATGTAGAACATGACACACATAAGCTGCCTTGACATATTCTAAGAGATTATATGCTGTACACTCAAATCATAAAAACAATGAATTTATGAAAGATGAATTTAATATAAATTTGATAGAAATATACGCAAAATATAAAACAAGATAAGATTAAGTTAGAAAATACTGAATCCGAAAGCAAAATATAATATTATATTAATGGCTGATCCGACAACAAGACCGCCTATTCCAAACACATCATGGAATGATACAAACAAAAGTAATAGCGAAAATGGACCGAAGATAAGTCCGAAACAAAGTGCGAATAGGAAAACTATTGTTCCTGATATTTCTGTGTTTATCTGAACTTCGTTATGCCTAGGAGTGTTTTGCACTTGAACCGGTCTTTCTGCATCAGCTGCTTGAAAAGCTTCAAGTGGATTATCTGAATTAAAAATGACTGGAAGCCATTCTTCTTCAGCTTCATATTTTTGATCATCAGTATCGTTCAGGCCACCTCTCATTGTGTGGAAAGAGAGTCTGATTTCTTGAATTTGCTCTGGGGTATAATTCATTCGAGTTAGACGGTCAAAGCCACGAAGCTCTGACTCTAGATCTTCTTTATCAACAATGATATCAGATTTATTTAATCTGAATAATATTGTGACCGTGTAATCTGGGACTGAGTCAATTTCAGAGAATTTCTCAACTGATTTTAAGATACGTCCTCGGTAAATAATACAAATCGATTTATCTTTTGGAATAACAACACTAGAGTCGCTTTGTATTGTTTTGATTAAATCGCCAACCGTGGTACTTCTGGTGAAGTTATATGATTTCCTACTGCCATCTGGGAAAACTGCATTGACTGGAAAGTCATTTTCGTGCAGTTCTTGGCTAGTTAGCAGAGGGCACTCGGGAGACTCTTCCATATTCAATTAAAGTTTTGAATGGAGAAATTTTTGAATTCTCTAGAGATGATAATTGATCTAACAAAATGTTTTTATGGACTTCTTGTATTTGTAAAAAAATCTCTCACAAATGATAAAATTTTCATAAAAACATTCGGAACATTATTACTAATAACAAGGTTTACATTGAATTAAAATCAATTGATCGTTGGAAATTCAATGAAAAAAACTAATGTACGGTCAATTTTACATTCAATATTGAATAAAGCAAAAAAATATCTAATGATTAAATATGTTCGCTATTTTAATAAGCAAAAAATATTTCTTAACATATGACACGAGCTCTGGCTTGATAATCATGCAAATTTTCTTCAAAACCAAAGATTTCCTATGACTTTCTAAGCAATAATTGAATCTTATGACAAGAGAATTCAATTATCTTGAAATTCTTCTGAAATATATCCCAAAGGTATGTCTCTGCATAGATACGATGATGCCATTGATTCACCATATGCTCCAGCACTTCTTATTATGACATAGTCGCCTCTTTTGGCATCTCCCATCTTCACGGAATGTGCTATAACATCTGATGATTCGCATACTGGCCCAACAACATCAAATTCATAATCATTACCTGGGTGAGTAACATTTTCGACTAAATGAAAAGCATTATATAATGCAGGACGAATAAGTTCGGTCATACCGCCATCTACAATGGCGAAGTTCCTTTCCATTCCTTGCTTAATATATAATAACTTTGTGACAAGAGATCCGCATTGACAAATAATTGATCGACCTAGTTCGAAGTGAATTTCTTCAACTTTGGGTGATAAGCTCGAAAATATTTTGAAATATTTTTCAAAATCAGGTAAAAGATTAGGATTTGTGTATGAAACACCTAATCCACCTCCAACATCTAAAATCTTCACATTAATTCCTTTTGAGCGATATAATTCAAGAAGGTCATGAATAAATAAAACTAATTTTTCGAAATCTGAAAGATCTAGCATTTGGGATCCTATATGAAAGTGGAAACCTAAAAACCTAAGATGTGGATATGAATTAATGTTCAGAATTGCTTTTTCTAAATCTCTTGAGCAAATTCCAAATTTATTTTCATATAAGCCTGTCGTTATATGATGATGCGTGTGAGCACAAATGTTTGGATTTACACGAATACATATATTAACAATTTTGTTCTTAGATGAGGCTATTTCGTTAATAACATCAATTTCTTGAAGGGATTCAACATTGAAACAATAAATACCATTGTCAATAGCAACACCAATTTCGTCATCTGTTTTTCCAACTCCAGCGAATACAATTTCGTTAGGGTTAAAACCATTACGAATTGCGGTTAAAATTTCGTTGCCACTCACAGTATCTATTCCAATACCATATTGTTTAATAATATTTAGCAACTTTGGATTGGGATTGGCTTTGATTGCATAATGAATTTTATAATTTTTGTATTTCTGGGCTTCATTTGTTAAAAGATCTAGTGTTTTTCTAAGCACAGCTGTATCGTAAAAGTAGAATGGAGTTTTGATATCTTTAAACTTTTAAATTGGGATTGATATTGGAAACTCCATGAAAAAAAATGAAATGGAACGTTCTAAATTACACAAAAAGTGTTATTAAACAACTCATTTATAGATAATATAGCCTAGCTATCATTGGCTTCACTGGTCATTTAATAAAGAATATTATTTCAAGTTTTCTTGTCCGCATATGCATTTAAATTTAGCAATGAGACTATTCTATCATATCTAAACACTGTATCTTTAATATGAATTATTTGAATTTGATTTTTTGGAACAATTCAGCTAGATAAGGTGAAATTTACATACTACATAATGCATATATAACATTTACTATAGAATATGACATCTAAAGAAAAATCTGACATTCAATAAAATGAATCTTGATAGCCTAAGCAATACTTGCAAGGCTATTATTAATTCTTATTCCGTATCAACACTCAATGACTATGTTGGGTGTTTGGATAAAATCAGGGAATTTATATCGAAATCCACAGATTCTTATTTAATCAAACTTCAACAGTTACAAAAATCAGATGTATTTACAGCTTTTAATAAAATATTGCATAACCCATTAGAGACAAATATCCAACTTAAGCTTTTACGATTTTGTGATTTTCTATACCAAACATGCGGTTCAACGAATGAAATTACACTCATATTTGATGAAGGAATTACAAATAGTATACTAACATATCCATTTGACTTATCCTCAACTGATGTTCTCCAATCATATATGACAATTCTTAAAGGTTTATCAATTAAATTAAAAATAATACCAGTAACATATATATTTAGCGAAGCACAGCAGAAATGCGCTATATTTGATCTGGCCATTGCTCACATAAGCAACCAAGACTCAACTACAGTTGCAGCAGCTCGGTTTATCGTTCTGAATTTGTTTACGTGTAAGAATAATGTTTTAATAGAGATAATTTCATCCAATGCTACAAAAAATCAATTCGAACATTTAATCGAGTCTTTAGACTCTGATGGATTTGCTTTCATTGTCGATGTACTCAATGTTGTCCCTCTCGAGTTGCAAGAGTTTATTATCGAAAAATTACGAAAAACTCTACTACAATTAAATCCCAATTTTATTGGCAGAGCTCTCTCATTTCTGGCAGATTCCCCAGCACGTTCGATGATCATGGAGATATTACCAAGCATGATTACTAAATTAAATATCAAACAACCAGCTACTTTAGCGATATTATTATATAGTCTTGAAAAAAGATTGTTTTTAATCGATAAAGCATCATCACTTGGTTTAATACAACAAAGCCAGATGCCATCAATTAAAAGATTCTCAATGTCTCTCAAAAAATCCACTTCAAAATCGAGAATTTTTCAAAAGTTGACACTTATATTCCAAGAAAGAGAATCCACGCTAAATATGGCTTTGGTATTAAGAATATTTGAGAATATATGCTCAGAACCACCGAGTATTGTAAAAACAATCAAAAAATCAATAATTTCAGATCTAAAATCGGAATCTACTATTGAGTTATGCAAAATTTTATCCGGAAGAATCGCTTCCAGGCAGAGAACAGACCTAGACTACGTTCTAAATCCTAAAAAAGAGCAAAATAAAGGAAAATTATATACATTAGTGACACAACTTGCAGAAATCGAAGCTTCCTTAGCGAGATACAACAAAAAGTCATTTGTTTGGTTCAATCTAGCTTCAATATCATCAACTTACGCTCAGGCGTTTGTTTTGGCCGATGAAACAGATTTAATTTTGACTCCAAATGAGATAAAACTGCTCGACGAAGCGAGATCATTGAAGCTTTGGGATATATATGTAGAGCCTCTCCCATATAAGTCTTCAAAGTCTGTTACAATATGGTCAAACAACCAGCAAACGAAGCGAAAAAGTTTGTCCTTGAATGAACGAGTCAAAACAGTTTTACAATTTTCTACGGCATCCTCTGCCGCACTGTTCGAAAGCGAAGTCCAATATAGAAAAATTGACCTTGCATTAGCTACATTGGATTCATTATCATTACAAATATGATATTTTATATTATATTTTTGTTCTCATTTAAATATGTTTGTTTATTTACCTATGATCATATATTCTTTACTTTGTTTAAAATGATTTACTAGTTGTTTCATTCTCCGAAAATATATGTCAATCGGTGAATTTCAGAAATTGAAATTTTACATATTGGTTTGAAAGTAATCACTATTAAAAACATAATATACTCATGATTTCCTCTACATTGTATAAATTATAAGCTAAAATCTCATAGTTTAATTTTTATTGAATGTAAACCTTGACAAAATTGGATTATATTGCATCGGATCTATGAAAAACATCAATAGACTTTTTATAAGGAGTAAATCCGATAAAACAATTTCTATCTGCCATTTCAAGATTTTGAAAATTTAAGGTGGCCTCATGAAATAATTAATAAAAAAGTTTCAGCATTAAATGTAAAATCCAAATTATCGGAAATTGGAAGAAAATTCCATAAAATTTTCATCAAAATTTTCCAGTCACAAGATTTTTATGCTGATAAAACATCGTTTAAGATCTATATAGGATAAACATTGTAAATCAAACTAAAATAACATAATTCGTTCTTTTTTCCAACATTTTATCGAAATTCTAACCGAAAAATTTTCCATTCGATGAAAAATTTTAAAAATGATATTTTCGATATGTAGATTAAAGAAGATTCATTCTCAAAAACATGTTTTGAATGCATATTGAAATTTGAATGCTCTCAAAATTTCGGAACTTGCAAAAATTTCCCTTTTAATATTTAAAGAAAACATTAAATGAGCAACTTTTCGAAATTGGAAAAATTTTAACTTTCAGATTTGTCGGTTATGACACTTTACATGGACTCTATCTGGTTCCAGGTTGACGATTCGGATGAAGAATTAGAGGAGTCCGGGAAGTATATGGGTGTTTTCAACCAGAGACCAGAACAAATTGCTGCCTGGCTTCCACGCCCACAAACACCATTCACAATTCCCCACAAATTTGTTCCTTCTGCATTCATGAATAAGGCAAGTATCGAGGAGCGTATTTCTAGAGTTGATTCCGAGCCGGAAGTCATCAGCTTTAAACCACATTCCCAATTCCGTGGAACAAGCGTTTCCGTTTACTAAGCTAAAATCTCTCGATATTCATGCGACTTTGAGAGATTTCACCTTAGCCTAATCATCTTCTAATTTCACTCCTTAATCAAAAAACTCACTTTTCGAGTAAACTGTCATTTATGTTTGTTGATGAATTTCTCTTTAAGGGTTTCGTTTTGCGAAAAAAACGTACAATACGCAATTTCGCTAAAAAAACATTTAGCTAGCAATTTCGACCTTTGACTCCACTCAAGACGTCACTTTTTTAATTTTGCGGTATCATATTTTTGGAAAATCTTTATGAATATTATATAAAAAGTCTCTTTAATATCTATATTTCATATTTTTATCGATTTTTAAAGTTTTTGCGAAAAGTATTCAATTATTTTTGCTATTTTGTCGGGTAAATGTCAGATTTGCGACATTTTCTGATATGATATTCAGATTCTACGTTGATAATAATGCTTATAGAACCCTCTTGCTATTGTGTCAAAATTGCGAAACCGATAGCAAAAATATCTCGCAATATCAAAATTGAGATATTGAGTGAATTATGCATTATAGAGATTAAAAATCTGATTTGTGAAAACATCTCATCAGTTTCTAGCTAATTCAAAAATCTTTACTATCTTATTCGATTAAAATGAAAAGGGAATAGTTTCATTATGCTTTAAATGACAGCCTTATAATATAATCATAGTTTTCGCTCAATATGCAGCATTTTTTTTTCGAAATCTATGGTCAATATCCTAAATACTGATTGCTTTGCATTCATATCTCTTACATTTTCTATACCCACATCACTATTCATTGCTATTCCTATCTTTTTCATTTTTGTTTGTTTCTCATAATTTCTCAAAAAACACGATAACTTGATATTTGTAAATATCATACTTTATAACGTAAATAAGAACTTGACCTATTAAGAAAAGCAGTAATGAAAAGAAAATCTGAAATTCATAAAAATTACAAGTTTCTGATGACAATTAGCTTAATTAAACCAGGTACAAGATTATATAATTGTATTTTCTATCCAATTATCCATATAATATCTTATCCAGAAAAAATAACTTGATCAATACCAAATGATTTTTTAACTAGTAAATAAAGTATTTTCTTTACACACACATTGTATATCATAGTTTTTTTTTTGGTTTCGCAAAACATCCAAAAACAAATATGCTATAAAAATGACAATTTTAGCAAAACGAAACCCTTATTCTCTTTTATTATTTTATCTTTCTTGTACTTTTGATATGATATGAGAAAAAGATAATTTTAAATTCAACTTTAAACAGAAATTGTTTAACGCAGAAGGCACAAACAAATCATATAATATTAGTTATCCACAGGGTCCTCAATCAAGCTCGAAGCGTCCATACTAGATCTATTCATTTTTCTGACACACACGAGAACAATGACTACGCCAATAATGCAAATTAATATAGCAACACCGACACTTACACCTACAATAGTTTTAGTTTTGTTTGAGTTGCCTTTGTTGTTATTTGCATTCGAACTGCAATTAATAATCAATTCCTTGTTATCATTTACGAGTATAGCAGTGTAGTTTGAATTTCCTGGATAGAAGTTAACGTTTTTTCAGTTTTCAGCCAAGGCATATTGACTTTGAACAATTTTTGTAGCGTTTGTGCACTGTTTTTCTTGTTCAATAAAGCTTACATTCACTTCTGAAGGAGACATGTGTTTATAGGTATTTGTATTTATATAAATTTGATAATTCTGGTCTCCTTGATGAGGATGAACGTGGAATTTTGTGTTTCCGATTTGTACATCACCCAAAACGATAGAAGAATCAGCCTCAATGTCAACAGAATTGACAAGTTGAACGTTACTGATTTCAGCTTTAGATTTTTCATTAACTTGAAGGGAAAGTATGACAACATTTATATCTTGCTTAACTCCTATGATACTGGCTTTTCCTTCCATGAAAACGTTCTTGAAAAACACACTTGAGGTGTAACTGTTATTAATCGTGCATTCTAGATCTTTGCACTTTAATGATGATATCTGGACTAGCTCAGAGGAATAAGTTGTATCAACAGCGACTCGAGCAAAATTATTTATGCGAATTGGGGCAAATCCCATTGTATCAATATTAATTTCTGTACCATCAGATATTTCTATGTATTCTGTTGATTCATTATTAGGAACTTTTGTGCGGAAAATTATTTTTGGTTTTTCTCCAATCAAATGAAGGAAGATATCAGAGCCTGAATGCACATATTCTTCTGTTATAATTGTTTTTTCATTATCAACCATTCGGAATTTGTAGTTGTCGAGTTTTTCATTTTGGATAGAAGTTATTAGCTGATTATTGAGATAGAAATCAACAGACTTCTCATTAAGATTTAGGCCAATATAAGGAACCAAATTAACTTCGAATTTCGGACGATTTGTTTGGAATAATCTGACTGCTGAAATATGGCAAACAATTAGATCACAACTATCGAAGTTATAAATCTCAGATGGCATAAACAAAGTGTATTCATCAACTATAAGCTTTTTGAGATTGACAGATTTGTCAGGAGTATCAAATCTGAACTTTGCGATGATCGCTTTGAATTCTAAGGACTTCAGGATATATCTAGTGTCGCTGGTCAAGTTAATATTAACTACCTGTACTTTATCCGAGCTTCCTTCTATGACAAAATCAACAGGTTGGTTTGTAAGATTGAAGTTGAGATAAAAATCAGCAGAAAATCCTTCAAATACATGGAGAACAACCCTGTCTACGTAATCCGGAGCTTTTTGGGTATCGCTCTTTAAAATGGTCATTCCTTTACAGAGGTTTCTGTCCGTAGCGTAGCAAAGAATTTGCGTGGTACTGGCTGGAGTTTTCACATACGTCATTATTACGGAGTTGTGACCATCAGATTCGAATTTTAATGCTTGTTCTAAATTAATGTACTTACTTAGGTTAGAATCTTCGACATTACAGTCAAATCTTATTGGATCTGAATCATTTCCTTTGAATTGTACAAGGGTACGTTTAGTTCCTGGAAGAATTTTTTCAGCTTGTTCCTTATTTAAGTAAGATGTACCATTATAGATAGCATTAAAATTGACATCTGTGAGAGTTTGAACGTTACTTACAATCAATTTGCTTGAATCGAATAAGGAATATTGATCTAGATAAATATTTAGTTTAATTGCTGATTTTTTGAATTCTAGATTTAGTATATCAGTGCTAAAATTATTGTATACCGAAATCGAGTCCGAAACATTGATTTTCAGTGGTAATTGACCAGATGGATTAAATAATTCCAGATTAGTGACAACAAAAAGGGCCGTTACATCCGAAAAATCATAGTTTTGGTATCTTACGCCAAGTGTTGAACAAATAACATTGCCATCAATAGATTTCGGTGCATCTAATGAAAGTTTAGGAAGTTTGAGTTCTCCATTTGATTTTATGGAAGATCTAGTAAGCTCTAAGTTCACCGGAATATAACTGTCTTCAGAATTTGGTGTAAATGTTATTTCTGAATTTATAAGTTCAATTTCAGCATAAATATCGGTATCATTAAGCATGCTGCTCCTAAATGATGTTAATGTAACATTGGAATTGCTGATTGAATAACTAGGTGGTATGATTTTGTTCTTTGTATAACTTGGAATATTAAAAGTTACATTTGAGTGCTGAATTCGTACATCTACATTTTTGAAGGATGAGTCTGTAATGGTTATGCTATCACTTTCATTATTTGTTATAGTTATTACATTTTGTATGCAATCGTGTACAACATTTAGATTTTCATTGGCTATAGCGATATTCCTAGAAGAAGACATGCGCGGATGCAGCTCTAAATGCATTCCAGAAGGAATTTCTCCTTCTAATAATAAGTAATCACTGTAAATCTGCGAAACATTTTTAATAGAAGTATAGTCACCTATAAACGCAAATATACTGATGAGTTCTAAAGGCTGGTTGCTGCTGACGATCGTACAATTTTTGAATGTGAGAGAAAGTACATTGTCCGAAATCATATTGTTTTGTATAAATTGATTAATAAGTAAATTCTGTATGTTCAGTATTCTAGGATAGTTCCCGTTGTATCGGGTGAAATCGATATTTAGCAAAGAACCAGGCTCTCCTATTATCTTAATATTGTCAACAGGGAATTCGCTAATTATAATATTTTTTGATGATGTTCCATTGTTGATTACTTGAATTAACATCCAGACTGAAGAATTTCTATTTTGAATTTCATCAAAAGAGTTAATAGAATGATAATCTTTTGAGCACTTACCTCCTATTTCGTCTAGGCAGTATCTGTCAAGTATTGATAGTAGGGAAAGCAAAAGAAAAGTCATATAAATAATATTTAAAAAATAATCAGAATCTACAAAAATTTCAATGCTGTTTAGATTTTATAGAAAAATATTTATGCTAGGTGTCTATGATAATTTATCTTTTCCGATTAAAAAAAAATTAGGGAAGGAAAGTGAATGAATAAGGATGTCAATTTGGAAGAAAAGTGAGAAAATTCCTAAAATGCTAAAAATGAATTTTCCAAATGTGCTTTTTTATCTCATTTTTTTGATTTTGAAAAAAATTTGGAGAAAAGAACTCTTCGTTTTTGAATTTTATCACGATGGTTTTAAAGTATATTAGACACATGTATTGATATTACTATTTTTGTATATTTTGAGAGAAAATCCCTAAAAAGTGAGAAAATCTAAGACGGTTTGAGAAAATATATAAACTATTGAAAATTTGAATTAAACTTCTAATTTGGAAAAAAGAAATTTGGAAAGAAGAAAAATCAAAAATCGAGATTTAGACTCAGCATCAAATGGAGAACAAAATGTTTCTTCATATGAAGGGAAAAAATTTTCTTGTGAACAAATAGAGTTTTTAAAATTTTATTGTATGTAATGAAATAAACAAATATTAAAATTATTTTTTGATAACAAGAAAATTCCCAACAGAAAATATTTGAGACAAAGAAAAAAAGAAAATTGAAAAATATTACTCTCCTTTATATTTCATGAGATTTTAAATTTATTCTCATAAAATTGACAATTTTATACGTTTAGATGAAAATAATTGATTTTGCTTGAAATAAAAATTATTGTTTGCTTACAGCTATCAAATAGATTTTTGCTATTTTGATTAAAATTTGTTAATCAAATTAATAAATTTTTTGTAAATATCTTAAATATCTGGATCACTCACTGATACAATGAATTGAACGATAAAAATAATACAAACTCAACTAAGTTTCCTGTCTTTCAACTCAAAAAAATTATGCAAATTAAATTAAATTGTTTATTCAAATATTAAACAAAGATGAAGTAATTACAGTTATCATAAACTTTATGAATAACTCTGTAATTGGTTCAGATTTTCGTAAAAATATTTTTATTAATATCGATAAGAATACGTTTACCTACTATCACAACATATCGATAAACAAGAGTAGAGTGATTTTTATCATCGAAACTTTTTAAAAGCTGTAAGCTGGAAGGAAAAATCTTGTTTTTTCTGAGTTAGTTGTAGAACTATTGATGCACGAGTTATCATTGTGATGTAGAAGGATGTCAATGTACTGACTGAAGGATATGAAGTGAATTGAATTTTATTGAATTTCAATTTGATCAAAATTTGTTGAAATGATATGAATGTGTCAACATCTGTATCACTCTCTTTCACTCCTTCCCTATTTTTTCGAGAACGAAGCTAGCTCAGCTTTCGCTGAGCGAATTGACACTTTTGATGCCCTAAACGTACATACTCTCAAATTTATCGAAAAAATTATACCACCTAAACTCGTATATTCTTATTTTAAATATGATATTATCCTTAGAATCCACACTAGAATATATTTAAATCAACTTTTAAAAAAGTTCGAATCCTGCGCGTCTCACTTTTTAAATTTTCCAAAAGGAAAATTATATTCTCCTAAAATGAAAACAATTTTCCGAATTGACATCCTTAGAATGAAGGATTGTATGATAAAAATCAATTTGATTTAATCTGTTGATAATGATACTATCAGATTTCTGTGCAAGATAATACCCAGATTTTCCTTACTTTTACCACCTCTCTAAAGCTGGGGACACCGCCTATCGTTGGGGGTAGCAATTAAATAGAACCACCAAGAGTATTTTTCGAACTGCTGGTGTAGTGTTGTGGAAACATCCGACATAATGATTTATTATGTCAAGGTTTGATTCCCATTTAGCTAATTTTTTTCTTTTTTGGATCATGAATTTTTTTTGGGTCACTATAAGATTTGTTTCATGTTCTAAATCTGCTGCATATGTAATCTATTTTTATTTACCTATTTTTTAAAAATCTATTGGATTGCCAAATTTGAATATATTTAAAATCATAAAACTCCAAAAAAACTATAAATATATGTTTTATGCATAGTGCCGATACTCAAATATCAGATTACTTAGATCCATGAATAATATCCGAATTTTTTTTCTTAAAATTAAACTTCAAAACTTCTTCCAATCTTATTCTTAATCAATTGTAAATTTTTAAAACCATTTTTTAAAATAATTTTGCGTAAATTTTATTCTCATGTTGTTTTAATCGAAAATTGATACATTTTCAAAAAAATAATATTGACTTATGAAATTCATTTTTAAGGTGAAATAGTATTGTTTTTATTAAAGTATATGAATAATATATAAAAAATTAATGAATAATATAAGCAGATTTTTAGTTTACAAAACAAATATGAGCAATGCAATTTCAAACTTTTGCTGGCAATTTCGATATTGCTCAAGTTTGTAGTATTTGTGATACCTATAACATCGGCTTAATCAAAATTCGATTTTTCTTATGAGTTATTGAGAAAATTTGATTGCAATGAGAAGGATTTCGACGTTTTTGATAAACTAAGAGCTGAGCTTTAGGGGTTCAGTTCATTTATGGCTGTAGTTTGATGCGTAGATCTCTTTTTTATTGTAAATTCTTTCAGCATGGGGATCGAGAATGAATCTTTTGAGAACTTTATGAGTTTTTACACCCGTAAAGAGGTTCTTCGAGGAAAGATAGTCCAGACTACATGAAGATGTGGGTTAACCAAAAAAATCCGATGGTTTCCCCATATTCATGTAGATCTTCGAAAAAATGAGCACCAAAAAAGCCAAAAAATAGGCTTTTTATTGGATTTGTACACTAGATCAATAATCTATTTAGGATCTGACACTCTTTTTAGCCAGAGATATGAGGTCCTTTCTAGGAAAACGATCTATTCATCCATAAAAAAAATGAATTATCGTTTTCCCCAGAAATTACATGGGGAGTGGTAAAAGTAAGGAAAATCTGGGTAATATATTTTTTAAATTTTTATTGAGGAAACATTGAATATTGACCAATGAGAAGCTAAATTTTCATGAATATATTATTTAAGTCTCTATATGGCTTTAACTTCTAAAACATTTTCATTCAATGAAATTTCTGAATTATAGCATTAAAACATCTTGTCTAGACCTATGCATAAGAAACAATTCAATCAGCACATGGTAACACAGGATTATCGATAGATTTTTCAATATTTAAAAAGTATTTCTGATTAAATCGAAATAAAATATTTTATAAACGTAAAAAATATATTCAATTACAACAATAACGCTCATGATTAAACTCTGAGTAGTATTAGAACAAAGGGAAAAAATCGATTATCGATAGTTAAAAATTCATATCGATTTTTATGATCTATTTACCCCTGAAAAATTCTTCATGTAACGTCCAGTTTTCTCGAATTTTTGGATAAATCAATTGAACTTCAGGAACATCAGTTATAGTGTTTTTGAATGACATACCAATAGGTTCAAGCACATCAAAATTAATTTTCTCTCCACTCTGGGGCTGTTCGTCAAAATTTCCGTAATTTATTTTTACTGGTTCATTTATTTCGAATGATTGATTGTATTGAATATTTTCTGGAATTTTCTGACGCTTGACATAATCTTTTTGAATACTAGCACCAACCTTTCCTTTTGCTTCGAGCATTAAACCATCAACTGTTCTAATATTGCTTTCCAAAGTTTCAAGTGATGTTTCGATAGCATTTGTTCTTGTTATGCATGCCTTCGACATGTTAATGATCATATTTTCTAAAGTTTCCAAATTAGTTTTGTTAATTTGAGCGTAATCTCCTGGAGATATTGTTTTTGATTTGACTTTTGATTGCATATCATTAAATGATGCTTCCATTTTTGTCAAAAACTGTTGAGCATCCTGAATAATTCTACTTAGATTACCACTCATCAAAATTGAATGGTGTCAAATTTTATCAAACTTCAGAAATTTGAATTTTACGTCGAAATATTATAGATTATTATAGCAAATCATTTACAAATCAAAAATACTAATAAACTCCCCTTTTCTCAAAATTTAAAATCAATATGTTATCTCGGCCATTGTGCTTATAGGAGAACATTTCTTTGCATGTGGATACAAGGAAAATCACTTTTAAATGCGGATAGCTCTAGCTTTCTGATTCAAAATTTTTATATATGCCTTATTTTGGAGTTTTTACTTTGAAAATAGAATTTTCATTAAGAATACATATATATGACATATCCGTCTTGACCAGACCGATTAAAAAAATTATGTCAAGCGAATTACCTTTTTTAGATTCACCTACATATAAATGGATCATGGTTGGCGGAAAAGGAGGTGTTGGAAAGACTTCAACATCTTGCTCTATTGCAATTGCTCTTGCAAAGAAGCGCCAACGTGTTTTATTGATTTCTACAGACCCAGCTTCTAATATCGGTGATGCATTCCAGCAACATTTTACTTCAAGTCCAACACTCGTTAATGGATTTACAAATCTATGGGCTATGGAAGCACCAGAAACAATTTCCGATAATGGCGACGAACAATTTGAGCAAATCTCATCAATGCCAGGTATCGATGAATTTAATGCTCTCACACAGCTTTTTAACTCAGTTGATAAGGATGATTATGACGTTGTAGTTTATGATACAGCTCCTACTGGCCATACAATGAGACTTCTTCAACTCCCTACCAAATCGTTCTTTACCAATTCTGGACTCTTCAACCCAAGCATGCTCTCTTCAATTTCATCACTTTTAGGTCCAAACTTCGATGTGTCTGATAAATTTAATCGCTTGACTTCCTTAATGGAAAATGCTCGTAAGCGTCTTACAAATCCACAAGAATGCACATTTGTTTGCGTTTTATTACCAGAATTTCTTCCATTATACGAAACAGAAAGATTAATTACATTCCTACAAGAACAAAATATAGAATCACATTGCCTTGTCGTCAATCAAGTCCTCCAGGAACAAATGGTTGAAGAATGCCCATTCTGCCATAAAAGATATCTCAATCAACAGAAATATCTTACAGATATTGAAGAACTTTATGGAGAAGAATTCCGTATTGCTAAGATACCTCTCCTTGATGAAGAAGTCAAAGGAATTGAAGCAATTAAGAGATTCTCCGAAAAACTTGCCCCTCTTATGTCTCCTCAATAGATTTGATCAAAATATAACACATTTATATAAATATTATCTTACTGTTATAAGCTACATTTTAATTTTTTTTTATATAATTTTTTATTTGAATTATTATAATAGAATGTCCGAAATATTTATTAAAAAACTGGCAACAAAGAGTTTAACAGATGAGATCAAGAAAGATAATATGAATTCAGTATTTACAGTTTAATTATTCCTAAAATTGAAACATAAAAAACAGCTAATTAATTAAGGATAGAGGGATAGAAAAGTATTTAATATAATATAATATATAAAAACAAACAAAAACGGAAATAAATTTTGAATTTTGCAATTTCTTACTGGAAATATGTCTTCTTGTGTGGAATTTCTGCATTCTGAAAAACAACACCACCTGCTGGAGCGCAGAAAGCTGAGCTACCATCTTCTGAAAGGTGAACACTTAAACGAGCTCGAGCTGGAACTGCTTGGTTATGTGGACTCTTGAGATTGAACTCTGCGCTGACAACTGTATTTGGTTCGAATGCTGAAAGGCGAAGTTCAACTTCACCAATCTCTTCGTCTCCACCAAAGAGATGTTTCTTTGAAATTACAACAACAAAAGAGGAACGAGATGCATCAGAGTACTTGAATTCCCATGTCTTCTTTGGACAATTCTTTTCTGAGAATTCGGCTGTATGATTCATGAAGTTTGCTCTTGGACCAACACGAGCAACTAAAGTTGTTTTACCATTTGTGTGGAAAGAACCTGTTTCAACACCGTCAACGCGGATATATGCACGGCTGCCACTCATAAGAGGCATGTAGTCGAAGTTGCTGGACATCAATGTTAAAAAATGATGACCTAACGACTTATCAAATTTTCTGAGAAACCCCAAAAACATTTGAGAAGTAATTAGGTCATTAATTCTGAGGACTAAAATTTTCGCCTTATAATTAATAAATATTGCAAATTAATAAAATATAAGCTAATATGTTTCTTTTTTAAATTCCAGTAAGCCTCTCAAAAAATATTCTGAGAGATCTATCGCCACATAGAAAATAAATTTGACAAAAAACGCCAATATTAATATTATTCAGAATAGCACAACACGAAAAATAACACTGCCATATCATTTGATGTAAACCGTGAGAAAATATCAAGATGGCAAACCCAAATTTTAGCTAAAAGTGACAGGGAAAAAAACGTTTAGTATTAAAAAAAGACCGATGAGAGCTTCGTTCGAAATATAGAGAGAACTGAGAATGCGCAACCATTCTCAGGGAATATTGGATGCTATTCCCGTTCCCTCTGTATGGAAAATTGAGGTTTTCAAAGGGAGTTAAAATAATATCAAATTTATACTAATTTACTTCAAAATACAAAAGTATTTGACAACTAAAATTAGTTACTTTAGCAAGCCTATCAATACCCTTTTACGATTATTGCTACTTTTTCGAAATAAAAGTAAAAACAAATTTATACTAATTTACTTCAAAATACAAAAGTATTTGACAGCTAAAATTAGTTACTTTAGCAAGCCTATCAATACCCTTTTACGATTATTGCTACTTTTTCGAAATAAAATAAATTTATTATCAAAAACCTTTTTTTCTTAGTAAAAATAAAAATGTTATTTTATATCAAGTTTTTATTCATAAATTTTTATAATGTTGTATAAATTTCATTAAAATTTACGTACATATTAAGGTACTTATCTTCTACATATATAATCTTCATTAGATATATACATGATAAATAAAATTCATAAAACATTAAAAATCAAAAAATTAGATGAACCTTGGCAATTAAATTTTATTAAGGGTATAGTAAACTCAAAATTCTAGAGTTTTGAGAGTGCCAATAAACTCTATAGGCCTATATATATCTATATTTTAAAGGAGAGGTTACGCCATAATATTTGATATTATAAATTATTAATTCAAAATAAAAGTAGAAAATGAAACTAATTTAAAAAAAAAAAGGTAGTGGGGCTTCCAGGCACTTCGTGCCCTCTAGCCCTGAAGATGTTTAGTATAAATGAAGTTTTTGGGTACTGGGGGCTTCCAGGCACTTCGTGCCCTCTAGCCCTGAAGATGTTTAGTATAAATGAAGTTTTTGGGTACTGGGGGCTTCCAGGCACTTCGTGCCCTCTAGCCCTGAAGATGTTTAGTATAAATGAAGTTTTTGGGTACTGGGGGCCTCCAGGCGCGTTGCGCCCTCTAGCCCATAAAAAATTTTTGAGAGTCGTCGTCGTTGACTTTTTTGTAGAGCACTCAAAATAGTATAACTTTGTCCGGACAAGTAAGGGTCTATCGTCGCTACAGGAAAAGTTACAGGCGTTCCAAGGAAGTATACTTTGAGAGACTCTTTAGAAACTTTAGACGTTTTACATAACCATCCATGCTTTTACTTTACATCCGATAAAAGTGGTTTGGAAACCGTTATGAGATGGTTAGAGGACATACATGACTATGAGTTTAGATATGACAAGATAGAATATGAGAGAGGTCCTATAAACCGGAGAAAGTGTCATATAAACATCTGTCAAAAACCGCTTTTTAACTTCACTTAAAATGCCACGTAAGCTACGTAAGAATATACGTAAGAGGAAGGGAGCATTGAAACATCCAATAGTAAAACTGACACCACAACAACAGTTGCAACAACAAATGATGAATGACCCCACTATGTTGCAACAAATGTCAAGCAATCCTATGCTTTTAAACAGAGTTTTTGGTGCACAGAGTGGAGGTTTAAGAGCGGCACTTTTAGCGAAAATGGCAGGCTATGGTGGAGCTGCAGACGGAACAGCTTATAACCCTCAAAGTCAAATGAATTTGAGTTCACTCAAAAATCAAATAACAGATGTCAAAAAGTCAAACATAGACATACAGAAACAAATAAGTGAAAACGAAAAGAAACTAGAATATGACAGACACACAAAGAAACTAAATGAGTTAAACGTAGAGAAAAAGAAGAAAGAAGAACAACTGAAAGAACTAAGTACAGAGGAATATGCGAAAAAAGTGTCAGAAAAAGCAGCAGAAGTAGCAAAAATGGAACAAGATGTTATAAATTTGAAAAACCATACTACTCAATATAAAGTACTGAAAGATGAAGAGATAAAACAAAAAGCCCTGAAGACATATATGGATAGCGATGAGTATAAAAAAGAAGTTGAAGCAAATGTAAAGGCAGAAAAACTTTTACAGTTGCAAAACCAAACCGTACAGTATGAAAACTTAGCACAAGAAAGTAAAAATAACGACGCAGCCATGCAAAAGGCAATGAAAAGCGCAGAATATATAAAAGCTAACAATGACTGGTTAGATGCCCAAGCCAACGCTAAAGCAGCCCAACTTATAGGGTCAATAAGGACAAAAATACAAGCGGATGAAGACAGTTCAAATGAAGCTTTAATGAATGCTGACTTTAAGAACGCCTTCGAAGCTCTTCATAGTAAGGTGAAACTAGTGAACGACTTCTCATCTGGAAAGAAACTGAAGTCTGAAGGTTTCGACAAAGAGTTAAGAGAAGTAGCACAAAATATGACGAAAATAACAGATGCAGCAACGAGACAGGCAGTTCAAAGTGCCTATGACGCCGTTAGAGCAACTGTTGTGGAAAGTCAAGAAAAAGAGTTACAACAGACCAAAACAGACCTAGTAAATGCTTTCTTAAAAACGAAAAGTCAGGTAGGACACTATGCTGCAGATGGAACATATGTGCCAGCTGGTGGAACTTATATACCAGCTGGTGGAACTTATATACTAGATAGTGGAACCTATATACCACCAAACCCTCCAAGAGAAGCACCTGCACCAGGACTACCTAAAACATTTACATCGTCACATGGACACAGACACAGGCATGCACCAAAACCAACACAACAACCAACACAACAACAACAACAACAACAACAACCAACACAACAACCAGCACCACAACAACAACCAGCACAACAACCACCTCCACAACCAGCACAGCAACCAACAGTTCAAAACCCTGCACAACAACAACCACAAACAGAGCAAGGACATAAAAGAAGTAGAGAACAAGGAAACCAAGATTTCTTAAAAATGCTTAAAGAAGACTATGGTTACCCAGCTACTCTTGACTTTAGTGACAGATATAAAGAAGCTATTAGAAAGTTCAAGGAAGGAAATACTGACCCGAACCTATTTAGCTTTATGGCTCAGCACCAAATGGGATATAATTTCAAACCTGGAAAATACAAGCTCGCTAAGGGATATGATTTAATAGCATATCATCCAAATGACATGAACGAATTTACTCCGAGATATTTGGTGTCAGAGATAAATGATGATTCAACTATCTTCATGAAACGCGTAAAAAATAGAGACGGAACGAAAGAACAAAGGCTTATGAATGCGGATGACTTAAATAGGGAACTTGTTGAAAACGGTCTCGGAATATATGAAATGCCAGCAGATGAGGTACAAGAAACTCCACAGGAAGAAGTTCAGATACAACCAGACATGGAAGAAATAGTTCAGCAACAACAGCTAGAAGAGCCTGAAGGAAACGAACAAGTCCCTCCTTTGGAAACTAACTTCACAGAACTAGATGAAGATTTGGAACAGCCGAAAAATCTTGACCCTCAACAAGAGTATGAGGTGAATATGGAATCTTTCCAAGAGTCTAAAAAAAATTCGGCTGACATAGTAGAAGAATATCGAAAAATGTTTGCCGACATACAAAAGACTCCAACACCAGATGAAAATATTCAGCATAGAATGGAAGTACTGAAAGAAAATGTACACAAATACAACAACCCTTTTTACTTACGACCATATAACGTTCAATCTTTGGCTGAACTCGGTGAAAATAAAAGGTTAAATTTCAACAAAACATATAGAAATGAAACATTGTTTAAAGTTCATTCAGAACCTAACCAAGATGGAAACAAACCTACTTTTGTTTCTGCAGACTATGGAACTACAATGAGATGGGGTCATAAAGCTAACCCGGATAGGTGGTTCATAAACTTACAACCACAATTCCAAGAAGTTGTAGACGCAATGGAAGTCAATGGTGAACCAGATATAGCTGGTATTTTCAGCGCGGCTTTAATGCCATTGAAAGATATGAAACATGCAGATATTTTGGACCAGTATGAAATGAACATGGCTGATGGAAATATAACACCTGACGTTCTAAAACATTTATCTCAAAGAACTACACAGAACCATAAAGATGGTATATTTGGTGAAGAGTTTAGAAAGAAAGTTAGGGAGAGAGAAGGAAGAGAACCTATTGTACATGACCTTGCAAACGAAAGTTTACAAAATGTCATAAAAACTTACTTTGCAGACAATGAACTGAGAAGGGATGAATATTTAAGAAAACTCAAATGGACAGTACCAAATGAAATGTTAGTATTGAAAAACATGTTCCTTGACAAAATAAAACCAACTACAGAAATAAATGACGCAAGACTGAAAGATTGGGTAAAAGCTTTCCCATTCACAAAAGATATTGTTGGTAACATGGAAAGAAAACCAGAATGGCTACAAAAACATATATTTGGAAACGAGCATATTCCATATGGACAAGCTCTGTTTGAAGAGCTTGAACCGGAAACTCAGGAAAGAGTCATGCAAACAATACGCGAAGACTCAAATACAAACTATGACAAAATCTTTCTAGGATATAGGTTACCTGAGATGGGCGACCAGAGCCCAAAGGCAAAAAGGACATGGGAAATTTACAACATACTAGGTGAACATGAGGCAAAGATGCAACAACTTGAAGCAGAGGGCAAGTTACCAAAGAAGAAGAGAAGAGTAGAACAAAGTGAAAGTAGTGAAGAACAAAGTG